TAACTTGGTTTGGGTATTTAGCAAAAGAGCAGAGATTACTCTCTGTTAGGGGTCCTTCATTCAGCCTGGTGCTAAAGAAGAAAAAGGGGGAAAAAGTGGGAAGGTGAGGGATAGGAGGAGATACCTGAAAAAAAGGAGGGAAAAGGGGATAGGGTAGCAAAGGTATTTGTGGGCCAAGCCTGAGGGACATAAGGGAATAGGATAGGAGAGGCTTCTGTGGGGCAAATCTGAGGGAAATAAGGGGATAGGGTAGCAGAGGTTTCTGTGGGACAAGCCTGAGGGAGAGAAGGAGATAGGATAGGAGAGGCTTCTGTGGGGCAAGTCTGAGGGACAAAGGTTTCTGTGGGGCAAGCAAAGGAATCCGCAAAGGAATCCACAAAGGAGCAGAGGCGGTGGAGAGCTCAGCAGGTAATTCAAGAGAGGGAGAGAGGAGAAAGAGAGAAAGGAAGAAGGACTGACCGGCCACATGAATACCATCTCATCATGTAACCCGCTGGCTAGGAAAAGACTGACCATCACCCGGCGTGAAATGTAAAATTTGTTACTACCGGTTCTGTGGGCGTGGCTTGGTGGGGAGGGTTAATGTGACTGGGTGGGCGTGGCCAACTTTTTTTTTTTAACTTTTCAAAGCATTTTTTCTAATGCTTTGAAAAGCCTCTGCCAATCAGGCAACTCAGCTGGGATCGTCAGAGAGGCATTTTAAAAAATACCTCTCTGCCGATCAGGCAACTCAGCTGGGACTTGCCAGAGACTTTTCAAAGCATTTTTTTACCACCTCTTCGGCCAAGAGATTGCAGAAAAAAATGCTTTGAAAAGCCTCTGATGATCCCAGCTGAGCCACGTGACCATCAGAGGCTTTTTTTTTTACTTTTAAAAGCATTTTTTCTTCAGAAGAGGTTGTAGAAAAAAATGCTTTTAAAAGTAAAAAAAAAAAAAGCCTCTGATGATCGTGCGGCTCAGCTGGACATGGTGGGGGGGGGGCACAGGGATTTTTGCTACCGGTTCTCCGAACCACCCGCTGCCATCGCTACCAGATCAGGCAATCCAGTCCGAACCGGGAGCATTTCACCCCTGCCATCACCCCACCACGTGACCTGCCTGCTGAGAGGAGACTGACCACCATGACCCTACATGACCCAGGCCAGTAGGGGTGCCTGAGCAAGGGACCAGTGTGAACCGATGGCTGTACCAAAAAGGTCCAGGAGAACCCGGATTCCAATGGCCCTTTTGGGGAAGCGCTACATATAGGAGACTTTATGGGCTAGATAAAAGTAGCAAAATGGGTTTTGGGTCTGATTTCTTCCTTTCTAAAAGAAACATTCTGCCTCTCCCCGCCAGCAATTTTAATAAAATTCTCCCTTTGTTACCTCAGGCAAATGGCAGTTTGAAGCAGCAAAATGGCCCCTGTGTCTGGATGTTATCCAATAGGACTCACCTGCCCCAGATAGTTTGGTCTCTGCCCCCCAGCATCTGACTTGAATGCATTCTGGGTTGTAAAATTACTGCCAATTCAACAGAAGTATTGCCAAAGGCTAGGGTGGATTTCCCTCAGTTATATTAATTTCCTCCAACCTTATTGTCAAGAGAATGATTTCTTGCCAGGTTTCAAAAATAATTTGGCATTGCTTCATTTGCCTGTTACCTTAAAAAAAGCCAGAGGTCCTAATATAAAGCATTATGTAGGGATTGGGGATCCAGTTAAAGCTTAGTATAATATAACATATATACTTATACTATATTAACATATAACATATCAAATATAGTTTCATGAGGATGAGTGGGGATAGTTTGAAGAAATTGTAATTTTTTTTAGGTGCCTAATTATTTATATTAACTTTGAGGAAGTAGCAGTAGGTTCAATATTTTTCTTGCCTTTTGCGGATAATATGAAGATTTAAATTCAGGTTATCTATTCCTTCCTGGCTAGGAAATTCTGGGAGCTGAAGTCCACAGATCATAGAGTTGCTAAGGTTGAGAAACACTGACTTATTTATTTATATCCCATCTTTATTATTTTTTTACAAACAACTCAAGGCTGTAAACATATCCAATACACCTTCCTCCTCCTATTTTCTCCACAACAGCCCCATGAGGTGAGTTGGGCTGAGAGAATGTGACTGGCCCAAGGTTACCCAGCTGGCTTTCATGGCTAAGGCATGACTTGAACTTATGATATTCTGGTGCCTTAACTTCTACCGTAGACCAAACTGGCTCTTAGTGGTTGTTTGGGATTTCAGTATGAACCTGATGCAGCTACAAAGATCAAAGGATATGTCAATTGTTGAAATAGTCAAATAATATGAAGTTCTTAGATTAGCCAGGTTTAATATTCTGCTTCTACATCTTTATTTTCTGTATGTTTCATTTCAGAGCTGCAGCTCGTGTTGCCTCCAGCTGAAGCTACTGAGTTCTTGTTTTAAATCTCTTTTTAAAAAACAGAAGCTACTTCCTGTAATGCTTTCCATCAGGGATATAGCATTTTGCCTGTGAGTATTTGAATAGTAAATGATGCCTAATATATACTAAGATATTTAGATAGTTTATGTGATCAGGATTAGGATTTTGTTAGCTCAGGAGATAAAGTGGATTGCAGAAATGTACCAAGTGAGCTGGATGAAGAGGATGTGCAACATACTTGTTTTTTTTTTGGGGGGGGGGGGGGGCAGCGGGGGGGGAGATCTCTGGCTTGTAGTTACTCATGTTTCATCATTTCAGAAAGTATGCTGCTTCCTCACCAAATATGAGGCTGCTAAATTCTGCTGTTTATTTATTTATTTATCAAATTTTTATACCGTCCTTCTCCCAAAGGGACTCAGGGCGGTGTACAGCCAAGATAAAAAGTAACAATATAAAAGTTAAAAACAATTTAAAATTATTAGATAGTTTGGCCAATCAACTAAAACACAATAACCCATTAAAATAATATTTTAGGCCAGTCCTGCTTGATGGAATAATAGCGTTTTAAGGGTGCGGCGGAAGGTACGGAGGTCAGAAATCTGACGAATCTCCGGGGGCAGCTCGTTCCAGAGGGCAGGTGCTCCCACAGAGAAGGCTCTCCCCCTGGGGGTCGCCAGTCAACACTGTCTAACCGACGGCACCCTGAGGAGACCCTCTCTGTGGGAGCATACTGGTCGGTGGGAGGCTATTGGAGGCAGAAGGTGGTCTCGTAAATATCCAGGTCCTATGCCATGGAGCACTTTAAAGGTAGCGACCAACACCTTGAATCGCAACCGGAAGACCACTGGGAGGCAGTGCAGCTCGCGCAGGAGCGGTGTTACATGGGAGCACCGAGTCGCCCCCATAATCACCCGTGCGGCCGCATTCTGGACCAGCTGGAGCCTCTGGGTGCTCTTCAAGGGGAGCCCCATGTAGAGAGCGTTACAGTAGTCCAGACAGGAAGTGATGAGGGCATGAGTGACTGTGCGCAAGGCGTCCCGGTCCAGAAAGGGGCGCAACTGGCGGATCAGGCGAACCTGATAAAAAAGATGGTCTTCTAAAGACAGCTGAGAGTCCAGGAGGGCACCCAAGTTGCGAACCCTCTCCGAGGGGGCCAAAGTCTCACCCCCTATAGTCAGTGATGGAACCAACTGACTATGATGGGTCCGTATCTTTTTTTTTTTTTTTAAACAAGCTTCACTGTCTTGCCTTACCACCGTCTTTTTCTAGCTTTGGACCTTGAAAGAATGAAAAGAATTGATGTCTTCCCTTTGTACATTATACTCCAAACAGTTATTGTTGTTACAATTAGAGACAACAGGTCTTCAGCTGCAGCTCTGGGAGGAAGATTCTACACAAGCCGATGAACTGTTTGATTGGTATAAATTAGGCTCACCTGGAAGGTTGGCTTAGTTTGGGTGATTATTCCCCAAATAAAATTAAGAAGGCATTCCGGAATAGATGAGGCATTTTCTTGAAGGTGCATCATAAATGGCTAACTTTCAGAACCCTGTACTTCTCAGATCACTGTCAACAGTCTTAGCATCTTGGCTTGACCATAAAACTTCAGTCTGCCCTTCAAGCTAAGGGCAACTCTCAGATTCAAAACAATGGTATGCTCTCATTCATTTTAAGGAAAGATCAGAAGCAGGAAGTGATATTTCACCTGCCACTACTGACCTTCTCAGTGAAAAGGTACTGAGAGTCCTTCCTTTTTTGCAGTTCAGCTAAACAGGTTTGAGGACTAGGATTGCCAACATGATCACCAATGTCCGATGACAGATATGTCAGGAGAAGGAGATAGGATCTAGCTATGATTGAACTAAAAATCCCAACATCCTTCACCATTGACTATATTGATTACATCTGCTGGGAGTTGTAGTTCAGCAACAACAGAAGAACTGATAAGAGTTTGATAGCAGTGCTGGACAAAAGGTAGCATTTCTGATTCATAGGACCAGAAGCTGAAGTTTTGTTGCCTAAAGCATGGATGAGATTGGTCAAGGGCTAGAAAAAGAACTGTTCCTGTTCCAAGAAATGGGGAAAGCTCTTTCAAACATATCATGAGGAATAAGCAAGAGAATTGCATCAAACTCCCCTCAGGGGAAGCAATCAACCATCTGCAATATCTGTGCTGTGCTATAGATTTTAGATTTTCAGCCAATAGTGGCAGGGGAGGTTGGGGGGTGGAAACCTCTACATAGCTTTGAAGTACGGCACTGAATAATAATTATCCACAATTAAAGCAAATCATTTTTTTTTAAGAATAAAAAAAATCTTTGTTGTCAGCTGTTAATTATTTTTTGGTTTATGCGTAGAGGCAGTGGTGGGAAAATTAATTTGTTAGCTTACATGGGTTTTGTGCCATGTAAGCCTGCAAGCTAAGCAATTTTAAGGCAGCACTTCACTTCAAAGGTACCTTTAAGAAAAGTTGAAGGGATTTTTTATTGCTGCCAGATATAACCCAGCCCAGTAACGATCTGATTCTTAATTAATTACCTAATTCCAGCCAAGCCCATCTCCACATATAGATGTGTATATATATATATATAAAGGGGAAACCAAAACTGCACCTCGGAGTGGGGTGTGCTGTCCTTCTCTCTCTCTCTCTCTCTCTTCCTTCCTTCTCTAGCCCAACTTTTGCTCAGCTCTCTTTAGCACTCTTTGAATTGGGCACAATGAATAGGCAATTCAGTTCTAGATCTGGGGGAGGGATTAGGACTTCCCGGGGATATACCTCTTCCACTACTGTCATTCCCAGTGGAACAAAAGCTAGTTTCAGTTCCGTTTCATTATCCCGTGGTGTGAAGGGAAGTGCAGGATTTGGTGGGGGCTTTGGTAGTAGAAGCCTCTACAATCTGGGGGGTAGCAAACGAATCTCTTTTGGAATCAGTCATGGTGGCATTGGAGGAGGCTTTGGGAGTGGCCTAGGATATGGTGGTGGTGGTAGAGGAGGATTTAGTAGTGGCTATGGATATGGAGCTGGAGCTGGAGGTTTTGGTTTAGGTTTAGGAGTAGGAGTAGGAGGTTATGATGGTGGACTAAGAATGGGGTCCATGGTTCCTCCTGGGGGCATCCAGAAAGTGACTATCAATCCCAACCTCCTATCGCCACTGCATTTGGAGATTGATCCTGAGATTCAAAAAGTGCGGCAACAAGAAAGGGAACAGATCAAGACCCTCAACAACAAGTTTGCATCCTTCATTGACAAGGTGAGTCGAGTCAATCATCAAGTTCTTTGCAGGTAGTCTCAAAGACAAAGTCTGTTAATAAGAATGCAAGAGAGAAATGGATAGATGAACACCGAGTGCCTCTTGGATGAAAATGAGGACAGATATGAGTGTTTGAGTGTTCCAAACCAAACATTTAATTTCTGAAAAGACAGGAGGAGTTAAAATAATACTTTGGCAGTCAGGAGATTGCATTTAATGTTGCATGGCTGACCAAGGCCTGCAAAATTTGCATAATCATGCAAAGTGGAGAGAGCTTTCTGGTTTGGGAGTTTCTTAGAACTTATATTATTATTAGAGACTATTTAAGGTTGATAATCTCAGAGATCACAGCTCACAACACTACTATGAGCCTCTTAAGTTGCAGAACAGTGTGAACTGAATTTTCAGGTTTTGAATGTTATGACCTGAGAGGCCTCTTGCAATTTCCAAGATTCTAAGTTCCTGCTATTCCTCCAAAGCTGGAGGAGTGAAATCAGGATTCCCACAACACATTGTTCACAGAACATGTTTAGGAAATCATTCAGAGTTTCAGCAGCTACATTGCCACTCATCTCACATATTTTTTATAAGACTACAACTCCCAGAGTTCCATAGGAAGAGGAGTTGACCAAAAAATCTCTTACATCTATGACATAGGATTATTTGTTTTTGTTGTCTACAGTATCTTCAAACAGCAGTTGCTATGTTTCATTCTAAGTATCTTTTTGCAAATTTGAATACAAGTTCTCCTGAAGAGATTTTTAACTCAAGTTTGAATATATTTTCAGGCCTGCAGCTCTTAAAATACAGGTAGTCCTCAACTTACAACAGTTCATTTAGTGACTGTTCAAAGTTACAACAGCACTGAAAAAAGTGACTTATGACCATTTTTCACACTTATGATCATTGTCCCATCCCCATGGTCACATGATTTATATTTAGATGCTTGACAACTGGTATATATTTATGACAGTTGCAGTGTCCTGGGGTCATATGATCACCTTTTGTGACCTTCTGACAAGCAAAATCAATGAAGTCAGATTCACTTAACAACTGTGTTACTGTGTTTTCCCGAAAATAAGACCCTGTCTTATATTTTTTTGAACCCTGAAAAAAGCGCTTGGCCTTATTGCCATGCGCTCCAAAGCCTGATTGGGCTTATTATCAGGGGATGTCTTATTTTGGGGGAAACAGGGTCCTAATTTAACCAGTGCAGTGATTCACTTAATAAATGTGGCAAGAAAAGTCATAAAATGGGGCAAAACTCACTTAACAAATTTCTCACTTAGCAACATAAATTCTAGGCTCAATTGTGGTCGTAAGTCGAGGACTACCTGTAATGTAGCCAGTCTTAGCAATGGTCAGAAGGCCTTTGGAAACAGAAATTACAGTCCTCTGCCCAGAATTTAAGTCCCCCATTTCCATCTCAGTTGACGAGATGCAAAATCGCTCCAAGGCATAGGCGCTACATCAATTATACTTTAGCAAGGCTTTTTGACATGATGAAGCTAACCATTGGTTATGTAAAACTGCAGCTTCTCAACTGCCCTATGAGAATTTTGATGTGAAATGTCAGTAAGGAATGTTTTTGCTGGAAATTTTTTTCCCTGTACATTAGGTTTCTGCGAAATATAACAAGAATACATATACTTCTCTTTTTTTCTCAAAGTTTATTGGCAATCCTCACATTGCAGCCATTCATGTAGTATTTAGACTGTCATGAAAATGGTACCCGTGGTTCTAGATTCAGCACAGAATTAACTGTACCATTATTTTGGGATTGCCAATTGCTCGTGTGTTGATAGAAAGGAAGCTATTTTTATAGCAATTTACTACTATTTTTTTCCCTGGTCACTCACTATTAGTGCCAAAGTTGTTGTTGTTTTTTTTTTTTTTAACAAAAGATGACACAGTAATTTAAAGTAATTTTGTCCAGCTCCATATTCTCTAGGGTACAGATTACTACTGGGATGATAGGTGCTGTACTCTAATTTTCCTGAAGGACACAAGTGGAAGCATACAGATTTAGCCTTTTTTTTAAAGCAAATAAGTACAAGACTAAGTTATCCACAATCCAACAAAGCAATATATTTTTTGTGCACATACATGATTTAATGACAGGGCTATAGGATCTGAGCTGCAACATCTGGATTACTTCTGAATGACAGAAAACAAAGGTACAAAATTCTAAATCTTTGCAGCTGTCATGTGGTTGATCTGGTAGCACTATTAAGGATTTGGGTGGCCTCTTGGTTGTCTTGCTGCACTTGTGATACTGTGGCTGTCATCCCTTGATTTAAATGCTGCTAGTCCTCATTATATAATGAGGTGTGCATTCCAATCTAAGAGGGCTTATAAAAGCATCTCTCTCTCTCTCTCTCTCTCTCTCTCTCTCTCTCTCTCTCTCTGGACTTCAGGTACGGTTTCTCGAGCAACAAAATAAAGTACTAGAAACAAAATGGAATCTTCTGCAACAACATGGCAGCTCAGCTCCAAAGTTCAACCTAGAGGCCTTATTCGAGGATTACATTTTTAACCTCAGAAGGCGATTGGATCAGTTAATGAGCGATCGGGCAAAGTTGGATGGAGATCTAAGAAACATACAGGATCTTGTAGAAGACTACAGAAGGAAGTAAGTGAGATTCCAAGACCTACTTAGCAAATATTTATTTATTTATTTATTTATTTATTTATTTATTTATTTATTTATTTATTTATTTATTTATTTATTTATTATCAGATTTATATACCACCCTTCTCCCGAAGGACTCAGGGCAGTGCACAGCCAAAGTAAGAACATGTGAGATAAGAAGGGTTAGGATGGCAAATATTCAGTCTGCAAGTGTGTATGTGGGGCATAAAAGTTTTAAGGCCTTCCCTTATGAAAAAATAAACACAAAATGAAAAACTAAAACAGGCAGAAAATAAGCATGTTAGATGCTCCCTAACCACACTGTTTGCCTGCTGTCTGCCAGAAGGTTTTAGCAGAGCTTACCTGTTTCTTCACATTGTCAATTTCTGCTCTTAGTCTCTGGATAATTTGATTCAGTTCTGCGATCTCAGTCTTGGTATTTTTCAGGTCATCCCCCGTGACCAACAGCTGTGCTCTGAAGTTCCTGAAACATTTTGGTTTCAGAACTCCTTTATATTCTTAAAAATGATTGAGGACCCCAAAGAATTTTGGTTTATGTGGATCATATCTATTGATATGTACTGGAAATGAAAACTGAGAAATGTTAAAATATTTAACATTTGACTTTGCAGACCCTGCCCCCCCCGAAAGGTTCTACCCAGACCCCTGAGAATCACTTTGTGAAATACTCTTGTGGGTTAGGAAGAAGCACCCAGAGGAAGCTCTGATGAAGCTTCAGCAGCCCATCCTATCCCTCTTCCTTGGAATTATGCCCAACTGATAACTGTGTGGCTGTGGCATTTTGGCATGAACTTGAGCTTGTGGTTTAGGGTGGAGACATTTTTGATTTATCAAAGAAATGACATTAAAGCAAGCAGTTACAGGTTCATTAAAATGCCTTTTGGCTCATAAAATAGGGATTATGAACACTTCTGATAGCAATTAAATCAAATGCGCTGAGGAGACAGTTACAATAAAATGAAATGGAACTGACATGATTTAAAAAATTTTTTTAAAAAAATTGATGGAATAGTCATCAAATATGATAATATAAATGGAATAATCAGTGAGAATAAGAACGTTTATAACAAAAACAACAATATTGTGTAGTGCCATCAAACTTTCTAATGCCTACCCAGACGTGATGTATTTGACAAAGCTACTTGCCTCCTTGTTTGAATTTAGTTTGAAAGATTATTATTTAAATTAATAGCTTTCAGATGTTGTTTCAGATTAAATTAAGAGTATTGATACTATCTGAAAACTGGTGAAAACGCACATAACACACACACCATGATACAGTAGAAGTGAAATATTCATGCTATATGTGCTTATTCTATGTCCATATATTGTAGGGCTGTTCTTAAAAATAAAAATGACTGCTTTTTTCAACTACAATTAAAAATGTAAAAACTTCGGACTATAACAAGCTAACATGAAGATAAAGAAAAAGGCAAGAATAAATAGGAAAATGAAAAAAATGAATTAGTCTACTATTTTTATGCAAATGTAATTTTCATAACTATACAGTAGCATTATAGAGCTCATGTTGTGCCAACCTGGGGAAAAATGTAAATTGACTGGAGAGGTTATAGCAGATTACTAAAACCTTTGAATTGGGAGTGCTGCATAGCCATAATGTATTACGTATGTAATAAGAAGCAAGAATAACCCTTTCCTTTATGGTATTCCAAAAGCCTATGAAATCTCAGCTATCGTGCAAAGTCTTGGAGACCACTCAGTTAAAGATTGCAGTACCATGAATTAATGTTGATGGATGCTGACTGAATTACAGTATATTGTGTTAATTTCTGCACTATAATTGTTTCAGTACAGTTTTTAGGTTTTTTAAAATGCATATTCTTAGTCAAACTGCTTAGAATCAACTGTGATTAAAGTGGCATAAATTATAAGTAATAAATAGCTGCTTATTTAAACATTGACATCCAACACTTGTAATGACCTGTTGTTGGCAGAATGATGAAAGATGACAATCCTTCACTTGCAGAAATGCTGGCCAAGTTCCAGCAGCCAATTTACTGGACTGGTAACTTAAGTCAGAAACTGTTTTAGAGGAGATAAACTATTGAAACTCAGGTTCCTCAAGCATGGGATGTAAAATAAATGCTGGTGACTTTAGTGAAATGTCCTCTCTGAATGACCATCAGGAGTGATATTTATAATCCGTGCTTGATATTCCTTGCAGATGGTTTGATGATTCAGTATTGTAAAACGAGTCTTCTTTTTTCTTTTTACATGGCTGCTGTGCCACAAATTATTTAGAACTGATATAGACAAATTTCTTTCCCTAGAAAGAGGAGCTTTTATAACAGCCTTGTCAAGGCCATTGAAGGCTATTGATTGGCACCTTTTTATATGACATTTTCTCTGCCTGATATTTTCTTTGAAGAGGACTGAAAGTCTATGTTCCTTCTCTTCACAGATATGAAGAAGAAATTAACAGACGCACCGCTGCTGAAAATGACTTTGTTGGTATCAAAAAGGTGACTATCCTAAAACAAAAGAATTAAGTTAAGAAAAAAATAATATGTCGGAGGTTTTTACACACAGAGAAAAAGCACTTTTGTTCAAAGTCTTTCTAATGTCTTAATTAGAAATTTCTAATTTAAATTAAATTAAATTAGAAATTTCTAATTACTTAATTAGGCTGAGAAATTTACAGCCATTGCTGGACACAACTCTTATAATTTCTCATTCTTCACTTTGGTTGATGGTCGTCAGAGCCCATTAATACCTGCAAACCCATTCACTTTTTAGTGTGCTAAAGCAAGAAACTGGATCAAGATTATATGACAATTATCAAAATATTTTGAATGGCCTTTTCGTTGGAATGTTCACATTTACTATTAAATGTAAACTGATTACTGATAAAGCAACAACTTAAAGTTATGCTCTACATTTTACATCCCACTGTAAGGAAGTGTTCATTCTTTATCTGTTGGTATACGATATTAAACTTGTATTAATTTATTAGGCAGTGAGCTTGTAGAGGCATGTTCAGAGTAAGATGTTGAATTAAAAGGGACAGTTCTAAATAGAAATATGCCTCATACAGAACTTTGCAGCAATGTAGAATTATTTGGACAATCTGCAGTCTTTCACATATGTTCAGCTACAATTCCCAGCCTTGTTCACCATTAGTTGTTTTGGCTATAGCTGCTGGAGATTGCAATTCAGCCACTTTTGAAGGACCTCAATTTCTCCATCCCTTTTATGTGGTGTAAAACATTTAGAGGACTCCTGTTCCCCAACATTTTTCTTTGTTGTAAAAAGGCATAAGTTCAATGCCCAGCTTGTTAGTTAAAAACAAAGAGCTAGAAGCCTCTGTGTGACAATCTGAAGAAATGCTACCAGTTGGAGTACACTCTATGGGCTAAATAAATTAAATGTCTAAAGTGGTATGAAACAGCTGTCTAGGAATCCTTGGACTGCTTTTTTGTAATTTTGGTCTGTGTTGCATTCTTGCAGGATGTTGATGTTTCATTCATGCAAAAAGTAGAGCATCAATCAAAGTCTGATAGGCTGTCAGATGAGATCAACTTCCTGAGGGCCCTCTATGAGGCTGTAAGTGTTGGATGTTCTTGTCATTGAATCCAAAGTAATGAAAAGTCCTTTAGGGCCAGAAATCATACTGCATCTGGAGAAGAAATGAAACGATCTTGCCAGGAAAGTAGAGCAACTGTGATTCATTGACAATCCTATGAACTACCATATTCTATTTCAAAAATCTCCTGGGGACTTAGATCAAAACCTTGGGGCTCTTTTGTGGGAGAGGGAGGCCAGTATACACTATATGAACTTGGGAGTGTCCTGATTGGATTCACACATCATGCTAAGATGTGATATTGCTAGCCCAGATTTGTTGATTAAGTCACAATTGCCTGGACAACATTTTGCATTAAAATGTACTGTTGTTTCTTTAATGCTGGCATGATGTAATGTGAGAACTGCAGTACTGCTACATATAGTTTCTTCAAATAGGTTTAAAGAGGTGTTGATTGACACACAATGTAGAGGGACCATTGAACTACAAAGGAGAAAGAAGAAGTCAGTCAGGTCCACTAATCAATTATGTCTTCTTTAAACAGTAAACAATTTGATATACACGAGGCCTATTATTATTAGAAACAGTGATGGAGAAAGTGCTATCTGTAAAAAAAAAGTATACTTTTTAATTGATGCTCTGAATCAGAATGTTTTTAATAATGGGTTCCCAGACATGAGAATCATATAATCAGATCAGTTAGTTTGAATGGTTATACTACACTTTCATATACCACCTCAGGTTAAAAAATCCACATTATTATGCTGATAGCCATGTTCTCTTCGATTGTGAAAGTCTGGGAAATATCTAAAAAGGTTGCTCAACTTTCTTTAATTTAAGCTTTGCTTTAAATGAAAAAAATAAAACTAGACTAGAGCTAAACTGTGGTATGAAAAGATCTGATAATGGAACCCTATATTCAATAGAAAAATAAAATTTACAGGGATTTCTAGAATCTAGACCTCTGGATTATGACCTAAACTCAATTTTCTTAATCACAATCTTACCTGAACACTGACTAAAATTACTGGTTGCCTGGGATGAGAATTCGTTTTGCTAGGTTTGGCTTGTTTGGTTTCCTATTAAAATGGAATCTATGTTCCAGATTTAATTTACAGTTTTAGAAGGGACTTATCAAGGGAGACTACAGAAAAGGCATCTGCGTGAAAAGATATGAATGTGAGATGGATGTTTTCTTGCACTTGGTTTGCATTCATGATGTTACGGACCCATGTCAGTGCTAAGGAAGTACAAATTAGTAAAAACTCATCCTCTTTCCTCCCTTTGTTATGCAGCAATATTATGATCCAGTGCAGGGGTGAAATCCAGCAGGTTCTGAGAACCGGTAGCGGAAATTTTGAGTAGTTCGGAGAACCGGCAAATGCCACCTCTGGCTGGCCCCAGAGTGGGGAGGGAATGGGGATTTTGCAGTATCCTTCCCCTGAAGTGGGGTGTTAATGGAGATTTTGAAGTATCCTTCCCCTGCCACACCCACCAAGCCACGCCTACCAAGCCACACCACGCCCACCAAGCCACACCCACAGAACCAGTAGTAAAGTCCAGTGGTTTGTTTGTTTGTTTGTTTGTTTTAGTTTTCTTTTTTAATCAAAGGGAGCTTTGTAATATATTGCACTGTAACTGTCCATTCAAGAGTCTATTCAACTGTCCATTCAAGAGATGAGGTAGCGCAGTGGTTAGAGTGCAGTACTGCTGGCTACTTCTGCTGACTGCTAGCTGCAGTTCAGCAGTTCAAATTTTACCGGCTCAAGGTTAACTCAGCCTTCCATCCTTCCGAGGTGGGTAAAATGAGGCCCCAGATTGTTGGGGGCAATATGCTGACTCTGTAAACTGCTTAGAGAGGGCTATAAAAGCACTATGAAGTGGTATATAAGTTCTGTTGCTATTGCTATTCTTCTTGCCCAGAACAGAGGCCTCCACTGATAAGCACAATTCATATGAATCGATAGAAAATTTCCTGAATGCAGCAGTCTTATCATGCTGAGCTTTGTCAAGTCCCTGGTGGGATTTCATTTGGTGAATCTTCCACGGGAATCTAGCCCTACCACATCTAGGCTGCAAAATCCTGAATGACCAGCAGATAACAGCAAAAAGGCAAAAACTGTATATTGTGATTCCATCTAACTCAGGGGTGTCAAACTGGTGGTCCATGGGCCGGATGCGTCACATGCAGGGCATGCCCACCCCAGCTCCATGAAGACAAAAAACGTTGTGACATCACGTGATAGCAATGTGATGCAGCGAGTTCAGTGGTGAAATGCAAAATTTTTCTCTACCAGTTCTGGGGGTGTGGCTTGGTGGGCATAGCTTGGTGGTGGTGGGGTCATGTGACTAGGTGGGCGTGGCCAACTTTTTTTTTTTTTACTTTTAAAAGCATTTTTTTACTACCTAATTACCCGAACCGGAAGTAAAAAAATGCTTTAAAAAAGTAAAAAAAAAAAGGTCCGACGATTGTGCGGCACAGCTGATTATCACACCTGATCGTCGGAACCTTTTAAAAAACTTTTTAAAAGCATTTTTGTACTACCGGTTCAGGGAACCTGTAGCATTTTTTTCCTACTGGTCTGAGTGAACTGGCCCGAACCGGTAGCATTTCACCCCTGGGTGAGTTTGACACCCATAATCTGCTTTGCCGAAATGAGGCACAATCTTTATTTTGAGTTGGCTTCCACAGAATATTTTGCTAGGCAAAGATGACTTAGTGAGTAACAATGGGAAACATCTGGACGGATGGATAATAGCATCTTGTTTTTCCACAAAGGAATTGAATCAAATCCGAGGACAAATTAGTGACACCAATGTTGTCTTGCAAATGGACAACAACCGAGATCTGGACCTCAACAGTATCATTGCTGAAGTGAAAGCACAGTATGAAGACATTGCCAACAGGAGCCGGGCTGAGGCAGAAGCATGGTATCAAACCAAGGTAAGACTCTGTAAAACTTTTCCAGAGATGATAGTGGAATTAAGATAAAATTATCCTCTTAATCTGGAATCAATGCTCTTCTTAACCAGAAGGAAAGCCTGAAGTGACAGGGTTGATAGTCAGAGCATGGGTTTACACTTCCAATGGGCTTTTCTTTTTTCAGAAATCCTTTAAGTGAATTGAATCTGATGTAGAACATTTGTCTTATATCATAGATTTCTTTATAATGGGGTCGTAACAAGCATTACCTTTTGGACTGCTAGGAAGAACAGAAAGATCCTAGACCCTATTATTTGAGAAGCCATGGTGGATGGACCTCATGAGCTTTGCAATTTCTCATGAGAAATAATGCAACTACAAGTTCTGTATCTATCATTCTAACCACAAAGTTATAGTGCCTACTGAGCTTTGCTGAAACACAAACACGAACTGTGATGCCATTGTCTCAATACATAGTATATTCCTAGGAGGCAAAAATTTGGATTCCACTTTTTGTTTTGAAATCACATTTAGGTTTAGAGGTGGCAAATTCGGCAAATCGTTTATCTGCCTTTTCCAGGGAAAGGTAATACACGGAGTTTGCCTCATACCCAAGGCTTCTTGTCTAATTCCTGAAGCTGGTGTTGCTCCCTATCAGTCATGAGGGTTCTCCTTTGGTGTTATAGTTTCAGGAACTTCAGACCACAGCTGTTAGTCACGGAGATGACCTGAAAAATACCAAGAATGAGATTGTAGAACTGAATCGGATAGTCCAGAGACTAAGAGCAGAAATTGACAGTGTGAAGAAACAGGTAAGGGGGCATTTGAATATAGCAATACTCCTGTCTGCATGGGTTTTTCTGTTCTCTTTTTTCATCTTTGTTACAGGTCCATCTTCTCTTAGCTTGCACACTATTTTGCAGTTCATTCACGCTAGGAACATTTTCCCACTGAATTTCAACAGGATTTATTTCTGAGGAAAAGTGGCCAAGCATATCCATTCAAGTTGGATAGCTCCTTGATTAAAATGATCCCTGCCACCATTTTCAGGAGATTATTCCCCAACCCTGACTGTTTATAACTCACGCTTACCAGATTGAGACACAATGTGCAGAGATGTATTCTAAGCAGCTATTTCTTCCTCTATAGTAGAACTGGAGCAGAAATATTGCAAGAAGTGTGATGTGGAGGTGTTCTTTGATTCTCAGGACTATCTGTCAGTCATGCATTACCATCTTTGACTGTGTGCCAGCTGCTGTTCTGCTTGGATAAAAATAGCTTCACTTCATTAATCTAAATTCTAGTAACCTCACATTTAAATTGTTGCATACTTTTGAATATGAATTTGCTCCCAAAAATGCTCTTTAATACAAAACACGGCAGCTTGAATAATCTCTGAAACTCCGTGACCCTATTATGCCAAGATTAGATCCTATTTTATAGGTAAAATGCAAAATTTATTCACAAAATACATGGAAATGGACTCACTAGTTCCAGAAAGACTATGATTTGAATAAAACACTGCTCAAAGTTGAATACCAATAGGACTAACACAGACTTATATATTGCTTCATAGTGCTTTTACAGCACTCTCTAAGCAGTTTACAGAGTCAGCATATTGTCCCCCCCCCCCAACAATCTGGGCCCTCATTTTACTGACCTCAGAAGGATGGAAGCCTGAGTTCACCTTGAGCCAGTCACAACTGGCTGGCAGTCGGTAGAGTTAGCCTGCAATACTGCATTCTAACCACTGCACCACCATATATATATTACCGTGTATTATATGACTCACAATAACTGCATGATTCCTTGGTTCAGAGAGCTTCAGTCTCTCATTTGCAGGAAGATGCAGTATTTGATAATTTCCAGGCTTACTCTTTGCTGGCTATGCTGATAAAAGATCAAAAAACATCCACAATCAAACCCCCTGCACCTGTTTTTCTGAAAGCATGAAAAATTCAAGATGCAAGACATGTTTTTGTTATGATACTGTATGCATTTCCTCAAGATTTTTAGGAAAAGAATGTATTTGTCAATAATTTGAATCAAGCCTTAGGCCAAGATGATATACACAAGGAAAAGAGGACCATGAAATGCTTGATTGGCATTTGGCACATCAAACCAGAGTAAACTTATTAATTATCTAAGCACATTTCCATGTTATTAACATGAATAATTCTTGCCCTGTTAAATCTCATAGTTGGAGGTTGCCTAGGAACAGAAGGTGGCACTCTGAGCTGGTTTGCTGAAGAATAAACTTTTTGATGGAAAGAGATAGTGAAGGAGAGAGAGTACAGATAGACCTCAACTTACAACAGTTCCTTTAGTGACCATTTGAAGTTACAACGGCCCTGAAAAAAGCGACTTATGACCTTTTTTCACACTTACGACCTTTGTAGCATCCCCATGATCATGTGATCAAAATTCAGATGCTTGGCGACTGCCTCATACTTATGACAGTTGCTGTGTCCCAAGGACATGTTGCGACCAAAGTCAATGGGGAAGCCAGAGTCACTTAACAACCGTGTTACTAGCTTATCAACTGCAGTGATTCACTTAACAACTATGGCAAGAAAGGATGTAAAATGGGGAAAACTCACCTAAGAAATGTCTCACTTAACAACATAAATTTTAGGTGCAATTGTGGTCATAAGTCGAGGACTGCCGGTATTACAACTCACAGAGGGATCCCTTGAGTTACCTATTTCGTTGAAATTCATTTTGCTGAAATTGAATTTGCCCAATGGCCTTTCAACCAGATTTTGGACTTGTCCGCTGAAAGATGCGTGAGTCCTGTTGAATCTGTTCACCTCATCAATTTAATAACACATGCTTTTATCAATATCCTTGTTGAGGTAGGGATTTGAAGAGTAATTGAGGCAATTAAATGTTACCATCTGATTTTTTTTGAGGCTCTGAGGTCCAAATAAAAGCCAGTGTACAATAATGTGATCCTGTTTACAATCCTCTTGTAAACACGTAGTTGTCTGCTGCTATAACAGAAATGAGAGGCCAAGTGCTGACTCTTACCAATGGATTCTTAAGACATCTATATTTAATACTTCATGAAGTCACGCATGCTATGACACACACGTATCATGAAATTAGAACCTAATTAATATTAATATATTAATAATTAATTAATAATTAAAAATAAGAACCTAATTAATAATTAACTGTTGACCTCACCCCATTCCTAAGAGGTCTGTAAAGGGGGCGTGCATAAGAGCACCAGCGTGCCTACTGTCCCTGTCCTAATGTTCCTTTATTTGTATTTTATGTATTCAGTTCATGCTTATACTTATATATACTATCTAATACGTACTTGACAAATAAATAAATAAAATAAATAAAAAAATAATACATGAATGTATCCAGATTGTCAATCTTCAAAGATCACTAGCTGATGCTGAACAGCGTGGGGAGTCGGCCCTGAAAGACGCCCGAGGGAAATTGAGCGAACTGCAAGTGGCTCTGCAAAATTCTAAGGATGAGCTGGCGCGTCTCCTGCGGGATTATCAGGAGCTGATGAATGTCAAACTGGCTCTGGATATTGAGATTGCTACATACCGCACGCTGCTCGAAGGCGAAGAATCCAGGTGGGTGCCATCTTGTGATGTATCGGGTCTCCGAGTGAAACATACCTATTTGCATGTTTCTTGTGTGTCGATTTTACCCAATCGTAAAGATAGGAATATACACACAGATACCTGTCATCATAGCTGTTCTTCTTTTTCTATAACTGTGTATGAAATACAGCCTGTGCATCCATTGTCTTCCCTATTACATTTTTTGTTTGTTTGTCCATCATTCTTTTTTGGCCTTTAACAAAGATCTTGTCTTAGGTTTGGAGCTTGTATGTTTTTCTATTTTTTTTATTATTATTATTTTTTTATTTGATTTATATGCCGCCCTTCTCCGGAGACTCAGGGCGGCTTACAATGCGTTAAGCAATAGCCTTCATTCTTTTGTATATTTTATACAAAGTCAGCTTATTGCCCCCACAAACTGGGTCCTCATTTAACCTACCTTAGAAAGGATGGAAGGCTGAGTCAACCTTGAGCCTGGTAAGATTCGAACCTGCAGAAATTGCAGGCAGCTGTGTTAATTACAGGGTGCATTAAACCACTGTACTACCAAGGCTCCTCTTTTCAGAGCTCCACTGATTGTTTTCTTAGAAAATTCCTAGAAATTCCTAGAATAGTACATTTGATGGATGCCAAATTAGAAAAAGAAATGCATTTAGTTCATCCATTTTAGAAGGCTGTCTTTCTTCAACCACACTGTCCCTGGGTCTGATCTTTAGTTTATTCAGTTTTGAGCTGTTTTTTTCCTCCTTTCTCTTTCAGTTTCCTTTTGCCTAGCACAATTCAGTCTGTAGGATAAAGTTCCAAAGGGCTCCAAGAAGAGGACATCAGTGGTGGGTTGCTCCCGGTTCACACCGGTTCGTAAGAACCGGTAGTAAAAAATTTTAGTAGTTCAGAGAACCGGTAATAAGATTGGCTGGCCACGCCCCCTAACCGGTCCCCGGTCCAGTCGCCCCTTGCTTACCCTGCCCACCTCATCAGTGGCTTTGTTTTTTTGTTTTTTTTAACTTTTAAAAGCATTTTTTCTACAACCTCTTTGGCTGAAAAAATGCTTTTAAAAGTTAAAAAAAAAGGCCTCTGATGATCACACGGCTCAGCTGAGATTGTCAGAGGCTTCTGAAAGCATTTTTTCTGCAGCCTCTTCAGAGGTTGTAGAAAAAATGCTTTTAAGAGCTTCTGACGATCCAAGCTGAGTTGCCTGATCAGCAGAAGCTTGAAGAGGTTGCAGAAAAAAAAATGCTCTTAGAAGCTTTAAAAGAAAAAATGCCTCTGCCGATTAGGTAACTCAGCTTGGATCGTCAGAGGCTTTTAAAGGATTTTTTTAAAGAGGTTGTAGGAAAAAAAATCCCTTTAAAAGCCTCTGGCCATCCCAGCAGATTTGCATGATCGTCAGAAGCTTCTAAAAGCATTTTTTTCTGCAACCTCTTAAGGTTGTAGAAAAAATGCTCTTAAAAGTAAAAGTAAAAAAAAAAGGTTGGCTACCCAGTCACATTACCCCCAAGCCACGCCCACAAAATAAGCCATGTCCACAGAACGTTAGTAAAAAATTTTAGAACCCACCCCTGAGGACATTATATAGAGGACATTTTCCCCAAACTCAGCAATAGCAAAAATTATCATTGGAAACAACAAGAGTCCTGTCAATGAAAAGTGATATCAAATATTTTGTAGCTAAAATGATTTTTCTCTTTCTGCCTCTAAATATGTTATCTCCCTAAACATGATTTCTAATTTTATCCCCAAATCTAGAGTACCATATTTTTCAGAGTATAAGACGCACCAGAATATAAGACACACCTACCTTTTTATTATTATTATTATTATTATTATTATTATTATTATTATTATTATTATTTATTGGTTAATCTTTAGTGAGATTCACAGCTTTGAGGCTGGTTAATAGCTCAGCAGCTTGAGTCCTAACCAAGGACCTAGGAACTGTTAAGGTATCGTCGGAGGATGTAAGCTGTTCCGAGTAAGGTGGTTTTTTGTAGAGTCAAAATGTTCAAGTCCGGCAAATTTAGAATTTCTAAATAGCGGGGTAGCCCTTTGGGTATTGCTCCGAGGGCTCCAATTACAATCGGGACAACACACGATTTCTTTTTCCACAGTCGCTCAACTTCAATTTGTAAGTCCCGGTACTTTGTGATTTTTTCTTGCTGCTTATCTTCAATTCGTGCATCACCAGGTATTGCAATGTCAATGAACCATACTTTTTTCTTTTCAACTATTGTTATGTCAGGTGTGTTGTGGACCAAGTGCCTGTCAGTCTGAATCCTAAAGTCCCACAAGATCTTGAGTTGTTTATTATTATTATTATTATTATTATTATTATTATTATTATTATTATTATTATTATTTTTAGACAAACACACATACAAACATACAATGTATTTTCTTTGAACAGAGTATTTGGCCAGTTCACAAATTTAAACAGTGTTTAGTCATTTCAATTAAATTTATAATTTCTATATTTCCTTTTTGCCATATTTATTCCTTATTTATTTTTTTAAAAAACCAATATTACCCTTCATCCTCATCTCTAATCTTAATCAAATTCAATTTTCCCCTTCTATTCTATATTATACCCCTTCCCATTGTCATCTATTTTTATATCCATCCTCACATTGGTTAATTATGTAATATCACAATTGTTTAATACAAATTCAACATTTTAATATAAATCAGTTAGTTATATAACTATCTTTTTTTGTATATTCATCAATATGAACATGAATATTCCAATTACTTCCATGCAATCCAATTTCTTACAAATCAATTAATTATATTTACCAATAATAATAAACCAAATAATTTCCCCCATATATTTTTCCAAACCACAACTTAACCATTTCTGCTTCCAAGACAATATACAATTAATAGTATCTCAATTATTACATTTCCCTAGTTAAATAGAGCTTTCCCCTTATGTTACTCATTTTCACATCTTAAACTCTCCCAATAACCTAAATAGTTTTGCCCATCTGATCCTCCAAATCACAACTTAATCATTTCTACTTTCATCACAATATATAATTAAAAATATTTCAATCGTTACAATTTCTCTAATTAAATTTAAAAATGTTCTAGCTGTTATCCAAGCTACAACTTAATCCTTTTTACTTTCACCACCATATACCATTAAAGGTATTTTGTTACAGTTTATACTTATTCATATTTCTAAAAAAAATAAAAAAACTAAAAACTTATAATTGTCTAGATTTCAAAAATACAAAGACAAATATTCCAATTATTATTCATTTCATTTTTACAATCATGATTTCCCATTTATTCTTACTACTATTCATATTTCAATTCTCAATATGTATAACATCTTTCTCTTTCATTTCTTTTTCTCCCTTCCCATATTTATTTTTGCCTTTTTCTTAAAATCTTGAACTCTCCTCTTTTGCCCTAAATTTCCCATTGTTTGCACCTATCTTTTTTAGTGAGGAAAAAGAAGAAAAAGAAATCTCCCTCTGCTTCTGCCTAATTTTTCCTTGCAGCAAACAGCAAACAGCCTGCTTTACTTTCAGTTTCGTTTTCAGCATACCGGTAGCTTGATTAGCACAAGGGGAAAAAAAAATCTGCTCCAGCACTCTTTGGAGCAAGCAGCAGAGCCCTGCACAAAACAGCTGAGAGCAAATCAGCTGAGAGTGGGGAGGCCAATCTAATCAACTTGTGCTAATTAGCCTGTGCTAAAGCTGAAAGGAGCTGTTTTTTCTTGCTGTTTGCTTGCAAGGAGGTAACTGCTGTGAGGCACAGGCCAAAGGGTGGGGGCCAGTGGGTGGGCAGGGCTACATTTGGTGTATAAGACGCACCTAAATTTTCACCCCCTTTTAGGGGGGGGGGGAAAGGTGCGTCTTATACTCCAAAAAATACCATATATGTTATGGTATATTTAGCCAGTAAATAAAAGTGATTCTCAAGCTGTCAGTAGGAAGTTTAGAATGTGGCAGGTTTGTGTGGGTGTGTATATCTGCATGCAAATATTAACATTTGTATGGCACATTTCCAATGATGTTGAAATGTCTGAATGTTCAATGTGCAAATTTAGGAAGCACTACATGCTGTTCAATATCATCAGCATAGTAGAAGACATTTCCACACATCCATAATTTGCATTAACATTAGCTGGTGCTTTTAGCATGTGGTAGGCTTTTAAGAATGTAAATAAATACTATGTGCTTGTATAATTGCAAGAAAATAACTAAAACTATGTTTGCTATACAATCTGGAATTAATTGCAGTTGTTATGTCTACCATAATACTGCTTAGTCATTATTCATAGTAAGAATTGGTTGCTGACTTGGAGAGAGACACATAAAGTTATCCTTCACTCCTGATATTTTTAATTAGTGGTGAAAATTCAGAAGAGAAAATACTGCACAGGTATAGATGCAATCTTTCCTCAAGTATGTTTTTATAAACAAAGTAAATATGCCTTAGGCTTGTATTCTACATAAAATGTATGCTGGAAATTAAATCTGGTTCTCTCTGTGCAATATCTTTACATTTTAAGATTTCATCAATTTGCAATCCAAACGTGTGTACATTTACTCCTAAACTAACTCCCCCTATGTTTGACAGTTTTTATTCAAAGTTAGCTGCCTTGGCTCATACCATAACTTAGTCTCCTACCATCTGATGCCCTTCAGATGGGTTGTACATATTTTAATTTCTTAGGGCTAATAGGGATTGGTCTGCACCAGATTGGGAAAAGCTGTCCTAAGCTGTCCTTAGCCAGGCTAAGAGTTGTGTTGACTTCAACCCAGTGATTATGGTGGTGGAGAATGAGATGACAACTACTCTGTTCGTCTTCAGAAGAACATCTATGGCTTTACCAATCTTTTTCCCAGCCCACCTCAAATCAATGGGCTTTTATTGAAAGAGGAAGTAGAAGATAGCTAGAAATGGAAGGCACCTTCATAATTTGTGCTGCACAAACTCTGCACAAGAGTTTGCAAGATATATCCGAGGCATCTGGGTAAGGCCCAAAGCCCATCATGTTTAAACTAAGAAAAGATCTCTCATCCTTTCAAAAGAAAAATAGCAGCCGCATCACCAAAATACAAAAAAAGTTGTTGAGACCAGAGGTGGGCATCAGATACTGTAACAACCGGACGCCCGGAACCAAAAATGTGAACCCGCGCACGAATTTAAAATCTTTGTCTTCTCTGAAAGGACATTAGCTTTGATTAACCTTATGAGGAAAACCTGTTTTTAAATATGAAGAGTTCCTAGTTTTCATTTTGTCCTCCAGTACTTAACTATGGTTTTGAAGCATGATGTGAACTAATGGCAGAAGGACTTGCTGGAAGGCAACTGGGGAAAGTGACATCTTGTGGTCACTTCTTTTGTTGACATGCTTTGAGAGCTTAATTTATTTTGTGCCAAAATGCTGACACCAATGCTAGGGCAGAAAGGCTGCCTTGTTCATTTTCCTCACCCCTCTGAGATATTGTGGTTCCATGGTATTCCGGGAATTTCAATGGTGGGCTGGATTTTGGTACTTGGTGTCAGTTGCAGCAGTATCTTCAATTTTGTTGAACAAGAAAACCCAGGGTAGACATTAATTGTAAGACCACTCCAGAGGTGGGTTTCAGCAGGTTCTGACCAGTTCTGGAGAACCAGTAGTGGAAATTTTGAGAGTTCGGAGAACCAGTAAATACCACATCTGATTGGCCCCGCCCTCATCTATTCTCTGCCTCCCGAGTCCCAGCTGATCGGGAGGAAATGAGGATTTTGCAGTAACCTTCCCCTGGAGTGGGGAGGGAATGGAGATTTTACAGTATCCTTCCCCTGCCACGCCCACCAAGCCACGCCCACCAAGTCATGCCACACCCACCAAACCACGCCCACAGAACCGGTAGTAATTTTTTTTTTAATCCCACCACTGGACCACTGCCAGAATTCTGTCAACTACTGAAGGGGGTGGGGGGTGGTCAGCATTGATGCCAAACTGCATTGTACTTTTCTATATTCCCCTAAGATATTGCTGCAGTTATTCTGGAAACTGTAAATCAACTCTGGTGCCCACAAGAATGGAGATCAGGGCTCTTTGTGTTCAACCTCATAGCCGTCCCTCATCGCTGAAATAGTGGAGCATGGAGCACCTGATAGAGGAAGGAGCAAGGAGTACTTTTAGATAATAAAGGCAATGGTTTAGTGTTTCTTACCTGCACTAATAGCCCAGGATCTAAAATTACTGAGTTACAGACCAGGAAAAAAAAAAGAATTACTATAAAATGCTGCAGGCTACTTCTGCTGATCATCGGCTGCCAGCAGTTTGGCAGATCGAATCTCACCAGGCTCAAGGTTGACTCAGCCTTCCATCCTTCCGAGGTGGGTAAAATGAGGAGCCAGATTGTTGGGGGCAGTATGCTGACTCTGTAAACCGCTTAGAGAGGGCTGTAAAGCACTGTGAAGCGGTATATAAGTCTAAGTACTATTATGTGTGTCGGTGCAGTTTGTTTCTGAGGCTTCCTTCAGACCACTGTTTGATTCAGTACATTGGAAAAACCTTATGCTGTGGTAACCCTTGAACTAAATGTATTTTTTTTCTCTGGGTGAAATAATTGCCAGTAGTTACACAGGTGTAAAAAAGGAATAATCTGTATATACACCAACATTTTTAGCAACATTTGTTCATGTACTTTATTCTGGTTAATGTCTGACCCTGAAGAACAGCAGATGCTACGGTGGACTCCTGTTGCCATCTAGATAACCCTGGAGGGCAATAAGAGTCAGGATTGTCTTCCCTCACGATGTTTTTGTACAAAGCAGATGAGCACTCTGGCCTCAAGAGGGCGCTCCTAAGACAGTCCCATCAAGGCAGCTAGTACCTGAGAGCACAATGCTAACTGGGTACAGAAGACAGGTTTTGAATTCCATGAGAAGATGAGGGAAGCGGGTAGAGAGGTTGCACCACCTGTGCTGCAACACAGTCACCGATTGCTACAAAATGCTTTCTTGTGGGTTCCTGGTTGAACCACAGACTGGGCATGGCCATTTTGCACCAGGTTGCTTCCTCACGGCTGAAACGTAAGTTCTGCCAGCACGAGAGGGGCAGCCTCCTCTTCCCCCCTTCCCAGTTACGACTGCAGGGGATTAGGACCTACAGGAATTTATTCTGCTCAAATGTGGAGGGCAGGATCCCACGAGGGAGGGGCGAACCACTGCAAGCCGGCTGAAAAGATTACTGTGCAACCTGTTTCAGTCTCCTCCCAAATCTTAATGCTTCATGTGACCCCTCCAAGCTCAGGGGTGTGCTTCAGATAGTGCATGAATGTTATGCAATTGCCCTGCCTCTTGTACAATCCCCTTAATAAGGGGATATAGATTGTTTAATCCTCACAAATTTCCCTAGGAATTCCCCCCCCCTCATTTTAATTTGTTTAATAAAATTGCTGCCTTTTCTATCAGGAAGGAAAGGCAGAGAAACTGTAAGCTTCCTTTGGCTGGCAGGGATAGGAGCCAATTATACCAAAGGTCCCCAGCCCCTCAAAGCCAATTTATTTTTCTTTTTTTCCATTCAGTCTGAAGCTGGTGACTTTTTTGCACTAACTTCTCAGAAATCGATTCTAAGTGAAAGGATTTCTCTCTAATTGTAGAGCATCCAGTCCTGGGCATTCTTTTGAACTCACCTATCTGTAGTGGGATATGCAAATTCTCTGTTTTATGCTTTTCATAAGAAAAGTATAAACTCTAGCTTTGTTCACTGGTGGCACTAATCCATAATGTGATTAGTTTGAACTGGTGTGATGCGGGTAGTCCAGTCAAACTTTAAATGGTTTAGTTATGCGTATAAATCCTCTTTGTTGAATGACAAAAGATGAGAGGGTCAATCAAATCAAATCTTTATTATAGACAAAGACCAACAAAAATGAAAAGGTCTGGTTAAAAAATAGCTAAAATGCTAGCAGGAGACAGTACATGAAGAAAATATTTCAGCTGCTGGAATCTCCAGGCAAGCTATTTTAAGGCAGTTTTGAGATATAGTCCAAAAGCAGGAAAGAATAAATGCAGCTGACATAGCTCCTCAGTGAGCTTAACTTCCACAGGAATTTCCTTATACTTAATCAGGTCTGTTTCCTGGTTATACTGTACATGTGTTCTGTTTGAGAAATCATGTGTCTAAAGCCATCTTCTTCAGCCTGGAGACTTCTGATTTTTTTTTTTTTAACTTCAATACTCAGTCAGGGGAGTTGTGGTCTCAGGAGAGAAGGAGACCAAGGATGTCTGGTCCAGGGAGAACAGTTTCTAGAAGGATTTTTGGAGGTGCAACTTACATCCCTCACCCAAATACATCAATGTCCCAGTACACAAATTCCTATTTTTTACATATAGACAATGCAAGGAAAGAAGTGTATGTATATGGGGGTGACGATGGGGGGCAGGGAACACAAAGTATGTTTTCCTTTATTTTGTTGCCCATCTGAAAGAGAATTTAAAATGACAGTTTGTTCCTTGTGTTTACTTGATACTTTCTGCCCAGATCTTTATTTGCAAGGACAAGGTCATATAGGCTATAAGTTATACATGATAAAGGTAATTGACTTATATACATATTGTTTTCTCTTTCTTGCCTATAGGATGTCTGGAGAACTCACTGCCCCTGTGAGCATGTGTAAGTATTTCATTTATGTTAATTAGCCGTGAAGGCCCATGATAATACACTTGTTTGCACAGACTTTATTGTTTAATATTAATACTGAATAATTTAGAAATCTTGAAAAAAATACTCTCTATCACTGACAAGAGGATCAAATAAGAAATATTATACTGTGTATGTATCCTGCCTATCCTATTTTATACTGTTGATGAGAATAATAATTTAGATAAAAAGTGAGACATGAGGCTTTAAGAAAAGGTAACTAAAATGGATTAAGTTGCGGTCAATTCATACTGAAATAAAAACAGTCTATTTGCTAAATAGAAGAAGGAATTAGAAGGTGTTAGCCTTATAAGATAGATCTGCAATGGCATATGAGAAAGACCTTGGGAGAGGAGCAACTAAGATGATTAAAGGCTTGGAGACTAAAACATATGAAGAAAGGTTTCAGGAACTGAATATGGCTGGGGGCTGCCACAAAGAAGAGGGGCTCAAATTATTCTACAAAGCACCAGAGGGCAGGACAAGAAAGAATGGTTGGAAACTAATCAAAGAGAGAAGCAACTTGGAATTAAGGAGAAACTTCCTAACAGTGAGGACAATTAACCAGTGGAGCAGTTTGCCTTCAGAAATCGTGGGCTCTCCATCACTGGATATTTTTAAGAAGAGTCAAGACAGTCACTTATCTGAAATAGTATAGGTTCTCCTGCTTGAACAGGGGGCTGGACTAGAAGACATCCAAGATCCCTTCCAGTTCATTCTATTCTAAGATCCATTCCTTCTTATGGGTTACAGCCAATGGTTGGAACAAAGTCCAGTAATGCACCTGTGTTTTTCTTGCAGCGGTGGTCAGCAACACATCTACCATGAGTGGAGGCGGTCGTGTGAGCAGTGGAGGATTTGGCCTGGGGATTGGTGGAGGAGGAGGAGGCAGTGTTTCTGGAGGCAGCTTGAGCCTGACAAGGGGAGGGGTTAGTAGTGGCGGCTTTGGTATAAGCAGTGGGGTTACTACTGGAGGGAGCAGTTACAGCACCGGAAGCTATGGTGGAGGAATAGGTGTTGGAGGTGTAGGTGTTGGAGGTGTAGGTGTTGGAGGTGGCTCTTCCAGCATGAAATATGTCTCAACCACAACCTCATCGTCCAGCCGAAAAGTAGTCAGATAAAAAAAAAATAACATGTTGCCAATTGATTCTGAAAAAGCTCCTAATCGCCAGCATCAGCACAAGTCCCCAAGCTAGTCATCCTTCTTTTTTTTTTTTCCCATGAGAAGTTTAATATGAACAGACATTGTCCCTTGTCTCCTGAATGAACACATCTGAGCTGGGGTTGACCATTCATGAGAAATGGCTCGTGTTACCCCTTCTCAGGCAGTTTCAGTGTAACAAGTCTCTTTCCCAACCAACGTGACTTGTGGCTGTGGAGGCATCTCTGATTTTCCTCCCTCTGTTACTATAATTCTGCCTTCAGTAAAGAAGTCCCATATTTCCTACAGGTTTAATGAATCAAAGCATCCCCCAAATTGGACAGAATTGAACGTTTCCTCCCCTTCTCTCTTTCAAAAGGATGATGAGGATGCCCTTTTGTGATAGGAATTGTCAATCAGTTTTTAAATCTGAAAAGGAATCTGGTGAAGGCTGATTTAAGTCAAAAGGAAACAAATCAAAAAAGCCAAGCACAAAACCTCTGAATATTATTCCTAAAAGGAACCCCCTTCCCCACCTCACTATTGTTACAGTGCAAAACTTTAGGAATAGAGTCTGGCCACATAAAACATTTTTTTAACACACTGTTGATTTCAATGGGAGATTAAGTACTTAGTTCGCTCTCCATATTTGAAATCGACAGGATGGGGGAAATGCTTACTTTTTATTTCAGTTGATTTTAAGCACGAAAAAAAAATCACTGAATTGTTTCCAGCATTGGCATTCATTTTATGGTCATAGTTTCACTTCCATTTTCACATTTCTGCGATTTCTTATGCTGCTCTTTTTGTTCAGTGCTTTGCACCAGCCAATGAATGCGATATAATTATATTCTCTTAAACCCCATTGAAAGCAGGAGGAAAGTGTAACCCAAACTGGTCTTGTATCATCAGGGCCTGCACTTTTTCCATTTAAGCCCCATTGCCCTGTTTGGTATATATTGCTTGGTATATTTTTGGTTTTCCAGAGCATTTAAAAATGTGACAGCCTTCTGCTAAGAGGGCATTTGAGAATGGAAAGGGCAATTTAATGGATGGGCTGACTGAAACAATATAGTTGCCAACAGAAAACAAAGAACTCCTGTGCTTTAATTCAGTTGTAATAGTAGGCAGGCCACTTCCCACACCCCAAGGAATATACACAGTCAAAACAACACATTGTTTAATAGGGAATTAGAAGACAAGTGCACAGGTCAGCCATCTTTTTAAAGGATGCCTTTTGTTGTTCTGCGCCTAGAAGAAGCATAACATTTGACTTCATCAACCGCAGAAAAATAATTTTAGTATTCTTTTGGTTGACCTCCCCCCCCCCACCCGCAAGATGAATTTTTAAACCCGTTAAATACATTTCCCATTTGATGAAGAACATTTTAAAAAGGCATAATAGTTTGTATGGCTTATTTTGTAAGTGTCCCCAAATGCTTGATGTAAATAAAATAGCAACCGTTTGGCTTCTTTTGCTCGGTCTATTGTTCTCCATAACTTCATGCTTGAAATTGCAAATAAACTGCATTGTGATAACTTGTTTCTTGCTGGTGTCTTCCTTGTTTTTACCCATGGGCATTCATTACAGCTAAAATGCTTTTTTTTCCTCAGGGAAGAACTCAAATATGGAGGGCCTATAGCTGAATAGAGAAATAGGAGACTAGGAATATTTGGTTTACAATTTTTTTTTTCTTATCAAATGGTTTCAACTGATTGACTCATTTATGGTTCACCTCATTTACCTCTGGTGTCTCACTGATGGGCAATACTACAAGTATAAGAGAGATGTACCATTGCCAACAGGGACGAGGTACTGATTTCGTACCAGAAAGTGCTTTTTCTCAAATGACAGAACTGGCCTGAGTAAATAGCTCAGCTCACCTCAAGAAAAAAAAATATGTTTGAGATTATCCAGTGAAAAAAATGAAATCATTTTTTTTCTTCCCCTCACAGCAGACATGGCTTTTTCACAATTTAGACCACAATAGTAAATGTAATAGATAAAGTTTCCCAGTTAAAGCCATTTGTCATTTCAGAGATTAGGAACAAATCTGGCTCTTCCCCAGATGGCCTGAGAGGACAAATCAGATCAAAGCTGGGCACCGAGAGATCTTTCAAATTCCCTTCCAAACTTGTAGGCAGAGACTAATGCATTTTCAGAATTTATCCAGGGGAAATAAGAAATTGTCCCGGAGTTTCTCAAGCGAGGGTAACAGCTGAATTCCTCCAGAAGAAATATAGTCATGATGATATTTATAGGGATTTAATAGGCCAAGGGAACCAGAGCCTAACACGATGATGGTGCAATGAAAGGCTGGATATCAACATACACCCCATTGGTCACTTTGTAGTAATATAAGCAAAAAAGCACATTGTTTCACTCATGAGAAGTTTTCCAATTTTTCCCCCCTTAGGAAGACTTTCAAAAGCAAATTATCATGTTGAATGAGAACTGGTAGGAAAATCAGAAAAAATATCTCCTGGCACTGAACCAGATGTTATAGCAGCATGAGAAACAACTTCTTGCCAAATGCTGATACAGCATGTTTTTCATCTCCCAAATTGCTGAGGGGGCCCCCCTCTTTCCTTTCAAAAAGGGTTATTTCTAACCCCAATTAGGGGTGGGGTGGAGGGGAGGGGTAAACCCTAGGGAGAAATATCCATAAAAGGAGGGGTGTGAGGGGAGGGAACACGGAGGGAAGGAAAAGAGCTGAGTTTCTACACTCCCTTGCTAAGCTTACAATCCACTGTAGCATTCAGAGACAAACCAGTTCCAACCTAACAGATCTGCCCCTTCAACCTCATTGAGAAATACAAGAGCATGACACAGCAAGAACATGGAGGAAATACCTGCAGAGTTAAAATGAAGTCTAGGAAGGACTTCATTGAAGAGATGTTTCCCTAATGAATACTACTCTTACGTTTTGGGAGGTGGTGGTGGTGGTGCTAAGAACATGGTCTTACACAGAAGACTGGCTGGGAAGTGCATATTCTTCAGAAGGTTATGACTTTGTTCTTGCAGATGTTTTAAAAAGGAGTTTTAAACAAGGAACAAGGGATTTACAAGAGGGTAGGTAGGAGAGAATCCCCATAGACAGTATCAATTGTCTACATCAAGTTGGAGATGAAAGTGTGATTGTGGTTCAGGAGACTCAAGAAACCTTCGGTGTTGAGGGGCAAAGTGAATGCTTGACTTCCAAGTAGGCTAAGCATGTGTTTTATAAAGTTTAAAAAAAAACAAAACCCTGTAACCATTGAAAGTCAAGTAGGAGGTTAATCAAAAAGACTTTTACTTATCCCTGAAGTGGGAGGATTGTCTTATATTCAAAGCAGATTCTGTTCGAAGTGAAGAAGATGAGTGGGAGAATCGAGGTACCTAGCTATCAATGATACAAGCGAGTGGCAGAAAAGGGGTAACAATGGAGATGTCTGCTCCCTATTCATTTTTTAAAAAATTTCATCCTCCTTATAGAGGGTAACTGGAGGAATGGGTAGAAATGGCATGCAGACCTCCTACTCCCCTTGAATAGTTTTCATCTCTCTTGATGGATTTCGCAGTGATCAAATAGGTCTGATAATCCCAAGGATATTCATTTGGAAAAGCCATAGATCTCAATGGGATTTACGACATTGTAATCATGCGTAGGTTTGAATTTCCTTACAACCCAGCACAAATGCCTCTGTCAACGTTTTTGGGTTGCAAATGAAATGTGAATGTGGGGGTGGGGGGTGGGAGGGGGGGGGAAGGGAGCTCTTTTTCCAATGTCTTGAGACTTTGAACCCTAGTCCTAACCCGTTTCCATCACCCCACTAAAGTGATCTGTTCCCAGCCCTATGAACTGAATTTAGTAAGATTTCAAAATTACTACAGCATTCCTATTGTACTTGCTGGGTAAGATCCAAGTACCTACTGGCTTTCTATTCTCTTTCTCTATTATTCTCTTTCTTTCCTTATCTCTATCTCATTTATTTCTCCTCTCACCACCTCTCCAGCCTCCTCCCTTCCCTTTTTTTCTTCCTCATTTTGGACAATGCCTTATTTTGAAATGTGGCCTCTAGCCAGTATGTACACACATACTGTACATGCGCTAATGCACAAAGAAGTACAGTATAAAAGTATTGGAGGAGGAACCGTCTGTTTCATTTGAAGCTGGCAATCGTGGTTTGAAAATGGACACCACATAGAGCTTTAGTATATGTTTAAATATATTTTTGTCTAATTCTACTTATTTTTTTCCCCAAAAGATCATCTTAATCTTCAAGATTGTCTTCCTTTCAAGTAAATATGATATGTGATACTCGGTGCAATGACTGAACAAGTAAAGCTAAAGATGATTTGCAAAACAATAGCTAAAAATTATAGGTTCCTGAGGATGAATTGAGAGATGAGTCAGTTTATTTTTACTTAGAATCATTTTTTGAATGATCTATCAATTAATGCATCATGTGAATTACATTTTCAATGTATCTAGAATTTGCATTTAAATCCAGTTCAAATTATGAATTAGTTCAACCAGTATTGATCCATGTTTGCTAGTATTAGTTAATTAAATTTCCCAATAGTCAATTCACTTGCATGTATTCAACTCTAAATTTATTTCCTCCTATATCTGCATCAGCTGCACATTAAGAAATACAAAATAATGCTTCCTAATTTACATGCAGTTTCCCTAGTGTACAGATCAATGTGGGCTTATGCATTAAAAAATTTGGATTAAAAAGTTTCTTTGAAAATTTATAAAGAGTATCCAGCCCTTAAGAACTGGATGGAGTATGGATACTGCAGAACATATTATGTTTTATCACTGTGACCTATATACATACCAAATCTTCTGTGTGAACCTTCTGGGAGAAAATAGATTGTGGTATGAAGCCTTTTTCTGCAATACATACACCCATTGAATGATTTGGACACAGTTCCTTTGAAGCCTGATATATTAATTATAGGGTTTTGTGATGCCCACGGCCATTTATTAATTAATTGTTTTTAGCCTTGTTTGTACACCGCCCAAAGTCATTTCTTTATAAGATGGGCGGGTACATAAATTTGAAAAATAAATAATAAATCTACATGGTATTCAGCAATGATACGTAAGTACTCCCAAGATATTAGTTCTGCCTCGTTGTGCCAAACCACTGGAATTAAAAACTTACCTAAGGAACTGAGGCTTTCTTCCATTTGGCCCATGGTCAATTTGGAAGCTGCTGAAAGGAAGACATTCAGGTCATGAAGTTTAACAGGAAATCCAACTGAATTGGTATTCAACCCAAGTTACAGTTTCTATGTCCCAAGAGCTTGTGATTGAGCTATAGCTTCTTCAGCAAAATGTGAAGGCGACACATTCTCTTTCCCTTGAATTAACATCCTGGGACAGATAATTTAATATGAGTTATGATTCAGCCAAGGGTTCATGTCCTCATTCATAAATCTGTGCCATGTAGGTTTTGTAGCTATCTGTAAATTGAAAAATGCCTGTAGATAAATGTTATGTTAAATATTTAAATAAATGCATATTTGAAAAAAAATCTAAGCATATTTTTCTTTTTTATTAAAAAAAAAGCATTGGTATATTTTGGAGCCATCAAGTACTGCGCTGACACATCCAGAAGTTGTAAGTATGAACCCTGCATATCCTGAGAAATGTAGGACTAGATTGTGTCTAAATGATATCATAATACACAGAAATCTAATTTCTCAAATAGAGAAACAACATGCAACTATTAAAAATGAGGAAGTCCTACTTTCAGAAGAATCTATAATCTTTCTCAAGTAGCTTCTACTTTTTGGGGAGGAGCTTACTGAGGAACTATATTATAAAGAAGGAAAAAAATCACCAAGATCCAGTTTGACTCAGTTCCCGGGACCAAATGTTTTTTCTTCCAAGCTTTCAGGGTCATGCTGGAGCCCATCATCAGAGATCTTCTCTCTCTCTCTCTCTCTCTCTAGATTATGGTTCCTGGCTGGGTATCAGAGGTGGGTTTCAGCAAATTCTGACCAATTCTGGAGAAATGGTAGCAGAAATTTTGAGTAGTCCGGAGAACCGGTAAATACCACTTCTGACTGGCCCCGCCCCCATCTATTCTCTGCCTCCTGAGTTCCAGCTGATCAGGAGGAAATGGGGATTTTGCAGTAACCTTCCCCTGGAGTGGGGAGGGAATGGAGATTTCACAGTATCCTTCCCCTGCCACACCCACCAAGCCATGCCATGCCCACTAAGCCACACCCACAGAACCGGTACTAAAAAATTTTGAAACCCATCACTGCTGGGTAAGGCTTTTAGTTGTTAATTAGGGTGTTGAAAAAAAAAGCACCATTTTATATTTGCTTGTTGTTTGTTTATATATCATATTTAGAGGCTGCCTATCACACTCAGAATGACTAATCTAGTGATTACCTCACATATAAGCTCCCAAACCCTAGTCTTATGTACAGCACAGTCTGTGTTCTGTAGCCCACTCCTCTGCCATCATACTGTTCCAGTTCCAGTTTCTACTCTTAGAAAGAGACTTACACCAGAGAGCAATTTTATTTATTT